ATTTTTATACTCTCAGTTCTGACTGTCGGTGAGTAAGTATTTGTGTAGTCCTCAGGATAACGTTGAGCGAAACCCTGAGCTACAAGTCTGGCCTTGTACAGTGACTCACCATTTGGTTTCTTTTTGATTCTGTAGACCCATCGAGTGCCAATGACCTTTTTGTTTGCTGGAGGTTTTGCAGGTGTAAATACTTTAAGTTTCTTTAGACTGTCCATTTCAACCTGCATTGCTTCATACCATTTGTCTCGCTCTGAATCAGGGAGCTGCTTGATTTGCGTGAAATTATCAGGTGGAAGTGTAACATTGCAAATCAAAGGCAAGGGTGCTTTTGTCAGTTGCCAAGAATATCGTTGTGGAGGGATTCCTTTTGTGGCCCTCTTGGAATGTCTCGGAACAACTGTCCAGTCTTCTTCTTCTTCATCCTCATCCTCACTTTCGTCGCTAGCGTCAGCATCCGTGGCTTGCGAAGACGGAACATCGGGTTGAGAAGAATCAGTGAAATCTTGGTCATCAATCTGCGTAGCATCAGCAGTATCATCTCTGGGAAAATAAACTCCAGGATCATTGGAATGAATCCTGGACCAGTCAATATCTTCTTCAAAATTTGCAGATTGGGAAATCACAATTGCATGTTTAGAGTCAATAAATCTGCTCCATTTTGAGTTATCATCAATACCCATAAATCTCAGTCTCTTTGCTGCTGGACTTCCTTTTCTTCTTTGAGCTAAGGGAATGTTCACCATAGCGTATGAACCAAAAATATGGATGTTTTTAAGATCGGGCTTGTAGCCATACAACATGAAGAAAGGAGTCTGATTTGTTACACTGCTCCAAGTATGGTTAACAATGTAATTTGCATACTTGATAGCTTCACCCCAGTATATCTTACCAAGGTTGGCGTCTTCTAGGAGACAACGCATCATGGTTTGCAGGACCCCTTGTCTTCGTTCTACGACCCCATTATGAGCCGGTGTGTAAGGCGCCGACGTCTGATGAATAATTCCATTCTTACGCATCCAGTCCTGGAAACGCTGAGACATGAACTCGGCACCACGATCACTCTGGATTCTGGCGATGCGAACTTGGTGTTGGGTAGAAACAAGGGTTGCAAAGTCTTTAAAGATCTGAAAAGTCTCTGATTTTTCTTTCATAGGATATACATATCCATATCTAGAGTAATTATCAACAATTGTTAGAAAATATTTTCTACCACCAAATGATGGCGAGAAAGGACCAACTATGTCAATGTGAACCAAATCAAAAATGCGTGTTGACAGGCGTGTAGCGTGTTTGGGAATGGCTGCTGCTTTGGATTTGGCCTTCTTGCATACAGCACAATCCAAAAACACCTTACACCCCTTTAGATCCAAACCTTTTGCGAACTCCGGCATCTTCCTAAGAACACGGAAACTGGCATGCCCCAATCTTCTATGCCATTTATGGATACACCTGGAATGCAAAGGTTTACCAGTTAGTGAATTCTCAACATTAACATTTTTATGCGGAACCTCAGGCTTGCTCTGAGCAACCTGTTTACCAATTTTCTTTTTGTTGGCTTTAGGAGCCTTAGGGGTAGCAACAGGATCTCTCTCTGGAGCATCTCTCTCTGGGCCTGTGCTCTCCCTTTTTGGAGTTTGCATACTTGCCTGTGTTTGTGTTTTAGGCTTTGGCTTTAAGTAATAAACACCACCAATTAATATGGTTCCAGCAACAATATCTCCATCTTTAACTATGTAACTTGCATTTTCAAGGTGGTGAACCTGGAATTTTAATGCTCTAGACAAGTGACACTGACTAAGCAAATTACTGGTTGCTGTTGGTATGTAATAAACATCAGGAATGAATGCATCGAGCTCTTCAACATAAACAGTTCCTTTTCCTTTGACCTGACAAGGATGATTGGAAAAAGAATAAAGTTCACGTAGTTCTGGTTCAGGCTCATGCATTTCTGTGAAAAGTTCCTTTCTGTAGGTAACATGCAATGCTGCACCACTGTCCAAAGTCCACAGGAGTTGTCTGTCGTACTCTGGTTGAGGTTGTGGATCATTGGTTAAAGCCAATGTGGCGAGTGGAGTTTGTGGATCACGCCGGGGACCACGACGACCTTGTCTTCTGCCTCTGCCTCTGCCTCTGGAGTCTGTTCCTCTGGGCTGGTACGTGACGGGAGCTGGAACTCGTTGGGGACAATCCCGGGTGGCATGTCCCACACGATCGCAGGTGTTGCACCTTGGCATCCTTGGAGCGTAGGTCCTTCCTCGGAAGGGGCGCCTAGCTGGAGCTTTTGATGCGGGTGGTCCTCTCAAGTGTGGCATGGCCAACATGAATGCCTCTTCTTCAATTAAAAGTCTACAGACATTGTCCACTGTGCATTGAGCATTGACTAATTGGGACTTGGTTAATTTTTGTAACAGCATCTTTCCATTCATAATTCAAAGAGTTAATGATGATGCTGATCATTTGAATATCTTCAATGTTATGGCCTCTTTCTCTCAATTCTGTTCTCAGTCCTTTCAGTTTGGTCAAATGTCCTCCAATTTGTTCACCAGGTTTCAATCTCGAACCGTGGAGTTCAGACATGAGTAAACATGAAGATTCAATTGAGACAGGCCTGTAGCAATTTTCCAATTCAGCCCAAATTTGTAGGGCTGTAGTATTTGGTGGAAAAGTGACCTGCAGTTCAGTATCCATGGACATCAATAATGTTTTACGAGCTCTTAACTCTAGATCTCGTATTGCAAAATCCCATGGTTGTGCAGGAGGGTTAAATACCATACAGTGAGTGCCTTCTCTAAGAAGCAATAGTCTGATCTCACTGACCCAGGCTTTGTAATTGTGTCCTGACATTTTTAGTTTTGACTCACCAGTTAGTGGAGAGACAGAAAATGCCTGGTAAGGAGCCTGCATTTGGTACGCTGGCTGTGCTGGCAGAAATGCCTGTGGTATTTGCTGTGCCTGTTGTGGACCTAAAAATGGTCTTGGTTGTGCATTGGAGGTGGGCCAGGAGGTGGCCCTTGTGGCTGGGGTACATATGCAGGCATTTGTAGCTGCTGTGGCTGATGCACTGGAATCTGCTGTATTCCAGTTGCCATTTGTGCTTGATCTGCAATATTGGCATGACCTGCTGGAGATGCAGTCATTTGCCTTTGCTGCATTAAGTTTAATTGTGTTCCATCTAAAAGGACACCAACACCACCAGGGGGTGTTTGAGTTTGGGCCTGTGGAAACACTTGTGGCATTTCAGCTTCCTGTAGTAAATTACTTTCGCCAGCAGATGGTGCTGCACCTTTAGCTTCGGGCAGCTTTGCATACAGGGCATTGTATGCTTTAGAGTAGGAGTGGTTATGTAAGACATGTGTAACTTGATCAGGGAGACTTTCATGTGACGTATGCAGTGCCCTCTATCTTAATTGGCCTGACACAGAATCCACCAGGGGGAGTGTCTTTGGCTCCGAGGAAGAAGACAATATGGCGCTTTTTGAAAATCTTAAATTATCTCCCTTATCTTGCTCAAGCATAGATATAGCCATTTTTGCCTGGGATAGCTGCTGTTCATAGAGTTTTATACGGTCACGATAGGCTTTCATAGCCAGCTCATCCAGGGTGAGCTTAGAGCTTCGAGGAGAATAATGAATTGTTTCTCTCTCTGCGTGGGAGTAATTTTGCTCGGCAGTTTGCTTTGGCCTTGCATTGAGCGTTACAAATTCAGAAGGTTCTGGGGAGACAGTTTGAGAGCTGGCATAATCAGAAGAAGACGTCACTGACCTCTGTTCCAGTACGTTATCTTCAAAAGCAGCTTCTGTCTTATCTCCCTCCATTTCTGTTCCCACGGCTTCTTGTTCCAGGCGTGTGGCTGAAGTAAGGGGCTGGAAATCTGAAAAACTCCTTTCTGCCACCTTCTCAGCAAAATGCATTTTGTATTTGTTTTTCTTCTGTTTCAGCATCTCAGCAATATAATTAGCGTACCTCAGTAGCTAAAAACTAATTGCCTATGCGCTCTTATCAGAAATAACAAAACAAGGAAAAAAGCCATAAATCAAACCGTCCGAGCTACCAGATGTCAGGGCATTTATTAATCCCATGTTTGGCTCTGGGACTAATCACCCTGGTTTAATTAGAGGAGATGGATCGTGGCTCCTCCTTGTTGCAATATTCTGAAAAGAAACGTGAAGAAAAGTTTCTAATAAAACTCATTTATTTGTTATAAAGAAAATAAAACACCTCACTAACTAAGAAAGATAAATTGTTACATTTTGAAAATAAATCGGGCCAGCTGCCTTTCAGCAACCGGCACCCCCGTGGCATGAGAACAAAGGAAAGAGTGTGTGAAGCAAGTGAAGGAATGCGGACATGCGTAGTAAAATACTGATAAGGAACTTGGCGAACTACAGTAAGTCTATTAGTCCAAAAATAATGAAGCTCAGCTGGGAAATAAAAAAACGCAGTGACATGTATGGCATCCTGGCTCAACCTAACCATAATCTCATCTGTTGTAAGATTTCATGGTGGCAGCTGAACAACTATCTAAATACCTTATCACTTTTTTTCTTTTTTTATACCGCCCTTCTCCTGGGGGACTCAGGGCAGTGCACAGCCAACTATAAAACACATATATCCATAAAATTTAAAAAACAGTTAAAAAACATATTAAATAATTTGGCCCCAATATTATTAAAAACTAAAACAAACCATTAAAATTCATGTGTAATTGATATTAAAGCAGTGAATTGGAAAAAATTCTAATATACATATAATCTGCAATAGGTTTCTCCTTATCTGATATCTTCCCGATATGTTGAAACTGTAATTCTCAGGATTCCTAGCTAGCAGCTGACTGGGAATTATACAAGATGAAATCCAATTCATATGGAGGATAAAAACCTCCGTATACATATGTGATATTGTAAAAATAGCAAGTATCAACATCTGTGATGGATTAACAGGGTTTTCTATCATGCCATGATAATATCCATCACTTGAAGTATCTTGTGTTTCTTCCTTAGATCTCCTGTTATGGCTGGAGGCCTCTTTGCTATTAACAGAAAGTGGTTTTGGGTTCTTGGTGGCTATGATCCTGGATTAGAAATCTGGGGAGGAGAACAGTATGAAATATCATTCAAGGTAAGCACTTATGGTACACACTTCTTTTCTATGATGATGGCTGTCATGGTGCAGTGGTTAGAATGCATTACTGCAGGCTACTTCTGCTGCCTACCGTCTGCCTGCAATTTGGCAGTTCGTATATAAGTGGTATATAAATCTAAGTGCTATTGCTATGATGGCATATGTGCTGAAGAATAAATAAAAAATGCAGCACAACAAATTTTGCTATACATTCTTTCTACTCTTTTTTTAAAGAAACTAAAATGGTCACTGGAAGATATAGGTTTAAATGGAATATTAGAAAGAACCTATTTATCTCTTCCTTCTCATCATTTGTGTTCTCCCTATAAAGATCTAGATTTTTTTTTTAATTTGATTTGTATGCCGCCCTTCTCCGGAGACTCAGGGCGGCTTACAATGCGTTAAGCAATACCCTTCATACTTTTGTATATTTATACAAAGTCAGCTTATTGCCCCCACAATCCGGGTCCTCATTTTACCTACCTTAGAAAGGATGGAAGGCTGAATCAATCTTAAACCTGGTGAGATTTGAACTTGCAGTAATTGCAGGCAGCTGATGTTAATAACAGTGCTTTAGTCTGCTGCGCTACCAGGGCTCTTATTTCATTTTTGGTATGATTCAACAGGTTCAGATGTTCCTTATGCATATCTGAACATATCCCTTATCTCACTTTCTTCTGAGCAAAGTAATCTATAACATCTCATAGCAGTCATAAACAGCAGTGCTTTAAATATCCCACAAAGAGTGGTACACCACAAAGTTAATTTCTTCCTATTACAGTCAGTTCCCAGAAATCTTGCACTGACTCAGGAAACAGTAGAAGGCAATAAGCTCTGGAAACTGGAAACAAGACTGCACATACCCAAATATTAAAAATAATAAGTGCCAAAGTAGCATTCTGTATGTGTGGGTTGAAGGATGTCAAACTCTGCAATATTGTGGGTGCAGCATTGCAGTTGACCCACCCCCCTCTGTTATGTGCCACCAAATGTACAAACAAAAGGGGTGGGATTTCTGTAATGATACTGCATGCACGATCTTGTAGATTTTAGCCCCCATGAGCCACTGTCATATGCAAATCCAGATGTTTATTTGATCACCTACAATTTGACAATATATAATTTCATAAGATACTTCTTTTTTTAAAATGTAGAGGAAATGGTTCCCATTTGTATTTTCCTAATTTTCCAAATGACAGATTTGGACCACAATACTAATCTTAAACAAAACTTTGTATATTGCTCCAGGATGTTCCCAGTCCAATTTAATCTACCGTAATGACTATCTTGTGTTTTAATACAAATTTAGAGTGTCAAATGTTAACAATTGGGCAACCCTTGTTGCTTCTCCAAAATCATTGGAGCATGAAACAAATCCATCTGTATTAGTAATACACTAGAGAAGATTACACAGAATGGACTCACAAATGATGGCATGGGATGTCTGAACTCCAAACCATGTAGTGAGGTAATTTCAGCAGAATAAAAATGAACTGGGTGAATTGAGTTCATGTGATTGAGTCTTTTGCAAACAAAACAAATCTAAAGACATAAAAGTCCATAAGCCAAACATATGATAGTTGATTTAGAGAATGGGAGATTTAGAGTGTAACATCAGGTTATACTCTCTATTGTTAAGATATTTCATAGCTAAATACACATTGGTCTTGCATCTCACAATTCTGGCAGAAGACATAAAGACCGTATTATTCTACTTCCTTTGTTTGTTTGTTTGTTTGTTTGTTTGTCAAACATGTACAAGATAACAAGTATGTGTATGAACATAAATATAAACAAAGGAAGTAAATACAAATAAATGGGGACAGTAAGACAGGGATGGTAGGCACGCTGGTGCGCTTATGCACGTCCCCTTTACCGACCTCTTAAGAATGGAGTGAGGTAAACAGTTTGAGGTTGAAACTGTGAGGGTTTGAGGCTGTAACAATGGAATCAGGTAGAGCATTTCAGTCATTGACCACTCTGTTGCTGAAATCATATTTCCTACAATAGAGTTTGAAGCGATTTACCTTGAGTTTGTATCTATTGTTTGCCCGTGTACTATTGTAGTTGAAACTGAAGAAGTCGTTGACAGGCAAGACATTGTAGCAGACAATTTGTGCTACAGGCAGCACAAATCAGACTACAGGCAGCGCAATTCCAGATTGTCCAAGCCCAAAATTTTAAGCCTGGTGGCATAGGGAATTCTATTGTGAGTAGAGGAGTGGAGTACTCTTCTCATGAAATATCTCTGAACCTGCTCAATCATGTTAATGTCCGTAATACAGTGTGGGTTCCAGGCGGATGAGCTGTATTGAAGAATTGGTCTAGCAAAGGTTTTGTATGCCTTAGTTAGCAATACAATATTACTTCGCTAAATTAGGTTAACAACTCTTAATGCCTTTTTGTCAATGCTGTTACAATGAGCTCTGGGGCTTAGATCATTTGAGATGAGTACTCCTAAATCCTTAAATGTTCCTTTTATTTGTCACTGGAAGAAACATAATTGCATGACAGACTATTCCTCACTACACAGAAACCATGGTAACCATACTGGAGGCTTGGATACTAAACTGTTTCTACCTGTTTTATTCCTTGATACATTCTTTGGAGAAGAATAAGTTACACCAGGGCTCATTTTATCTATATCTGCTCATTCATTTCCTTACTGTGAGTTGACCCTAACAGTACATGCCCTTGCCCATGGATATAATTTTAAATGACTTTCAATAGCATTTTGTACTATTCATATAGAAACTATTCTCTGCCTCAGTCAGACCTCAGTTGGAAATAGGAACAAACCATACATAGAATGCATTATTTCCTTTGAAACTAGAAGGCAAAAGGTAAAGGTATAGAAGCGAGTTAAGGATTTTTTTTGTGTAGAGTATCAGGAAATAAGTAGTGAACAAAGTTTTCTTCTAAAGTAAAGGTTGTAATTTAAGTTGAAATTTAGTTCAAAGGCCCATGGTGCTAGGTAATTAGAAATTCAGTATCTGTTTCTGGAATCTACAGTTTGTGCTACAACATTAAAGCCTGGAGATCTCCTAAATCAGGTTGCTCAAGTCTTTACTTGCCTTTAATGCTCCTGAGCCCCATTGTTCACCCCCTCTAAAATCCCAAATGTCATATCACTGAAAACCAATGTAATATAATGCTAAATTCATTGAACCAAAGAAACCCATACTGAAATATCCATCCAGGATTGGAACTCAATAAGTGACTTTGAACTACTTTGGCTCATCTATCCCTCGGATCTATTGTGAAGACAAGTCACCTTCCCAATTTCACCCAAAGCCCCTCAATAGGGCCAGGCCAGATATTTTCATCTACTGACCAATACTATCACTGTATCATTCATGTGTGTGGATGGACGGATGAATGGATGGATGGATGGATGGATGGATTGGGTGGGTGGGCGGGTGGGCAGACAGGCAGGCAGGCAGGCAGGCAGACAAATAGCTATGTCTATATTGTTTCCGGTCTTTAATCTTTAATGCATTCAAATCAGACTTCTATGGTTTAGAGATACTGGGGGGGGTTAGGCTCTTACGTTCACCAATGCTGCTACTATGCAGTTTTTGCTCTTGACTGTTCAGATAACAGCCTGAATAAGACTGAAATGAAATATATATTTACGTATTATGCATCATATTTATATAGCTACCCATCTCACAAAAACATGACTCTGGGCAGCATACAACAATGTTGTATTTTGATTAAAATTCTTGAATAAGCAAGAATTCCAAATAGGAATGCAAAATGCATTTTCATTTTGGTTGGGTTTTTTTTTAAAAAAGTAAAATCCAGCATTACAGAACTATATTTTAAAAATACAGTAGGCAGATTTTATTTTATATAATATATATATATATATATATATATATTATATATATATATATATATATATATATATATTGTTTCTTTTATTCATAGGTTTATATGTGCATTACTGTTCTAGCCAGGGTTTTTCCTATGTAAATCAAGATGTTTGTATTGCCATAGTTGGGTGACATCTCAAATCACCACTTTCGAGGCTTTATCAAACATTTTGTGTTGTCTGCTGTGAGACTTAAGGGAGACTAAGATAGATCTATTTCGGCCTTATAAGGCAATACAACTATGGCAATACAAACATCTTGATTTACATAGGAAAAACCCTGGCTAGAACAGTAATGCACATATAAATCTACGAATAAAAGAACAAAATAAATATTTGACCTTTACAGGGAGGAGTCATAAAATAAAAGTGTGGCTAACTGAAGAGGCCTTATAAGGCAGAAATAGATCTATCTTAGTCTCCCTTAAGTCTCACAGCAGACAACACAAAATGTCTGATAAAGCCTGGAAAGTGGTGATTTGAGATGTCATCCAACTATGGCAATACAAATATCTTGATTTACGTAGGAAAAACCCTGGCTAGAACAGTAATGCATATATATATATATATATATATTAATAATTTTGATCTGGCTTCCAAACTATAGTTGCTAAAAGACAATATGAAGTGGCAACTGGTTCAATATTTAATCTCCAACATGTGAAAGTGAAAGAGAGAAAGACATGATGATGACGATGACGATGATGATGATGATGACGATGACGATGACGATGACGATGACGATGATGATGATGATGATGATGATGATGATGATGATTGGAATCTATGTATAGTCTGGAAATTCAAGAATTCAATTAAACCTATTGTAGCTTTTTTTCAGTACAAATCTCATTGTCTTGAATCACATTAGACAGTTAATGACTCTGTCTTAATCTTTAGTTATATGCATGTTTTGTTGCTTTGCAAAATCATATAATAAAGCAAATTAATTGATTAGTAAAAGAAGGATTATTAGGGGAGGGAGAGATGTGAAAAAAATCAACCAAATTCCTAGTGTTCTAACATTCAGAACTAAAGAATTAAATTTAAAAAGACACTTAAGATATTTAAGCATGTTGATTGAAAAATATCCACATAATTTTGTAACCTTGCAAAATAT